ATATAAATATTTGTACGTAATGTTATGGCTTTGACTACAGATACTTTTTAAATAGTTTTATATTTTCAGATTAAACGCATGTTTTTTAGCTATATAGTTTGTAGATAAAATCTATTGTTTGCTTTTTTTAAAAAAATTAGAGTTGGTAATTTCACTACAAAAAGGATCTGTTGATTTTTGTTTGGTAGTTCACTATTTGCCCATATCTGGAACCCTAACAGGTGCTGCTACCCTGGGTGCCTCCTGGGCATGATGATAAACTACATCCAGCAGCAAGGTCTCTAATACCGAGGTTTTGAGAAGCGTAGAACCATTTCTTAATTATTGTTGTTCCCAGGTCCACTCTGACCCTGGGGGTTAGAACCAGTTAGGGTCCCAACTATGAGCAAATAGTTAACCCCCAAATTTGTGCCAAATCACTATGAAAGTATAAAATAGACTTTTATAGTAAAAATACCAGCAATATATTTTCATAGTAAGAAAAATTATCAGCAATATATACATATATTATTATTGCTCCCAAGAAAATTAAATGACCCATAAGGAGTTGATATACCGCTAAACCAAACATTACTGGGTCAGGGTAAAAGTAGGGAGGGAGCTGGAGTCCTTATCAAACAGAAGTGCCTAGAAGGAAAGATCAATTTTTGCATGCCTTTTAAACTCTACCTTGTCCTACAATTGAAGACAAGTTAGTCCTACAATGTCTACGATTGGGAGCATGGTTAACTCCCTATAAATCTGTATTTGTTATTTGGTCTTGATTAATAAGCTAGATCCGCAGACGACCATCCATGAAGACATTATCTCTCCCTTGACGGTGGGTGGAGGCATCATAATTTGCTTCTTGAGTCGAATCCTAAAGTTGGAAGTACCAAATAGATTCTAGCAAATTGTGTACTTTTACCAAATCCCACTTTAATCTTAATCATATATCACGTTTCATGTATAATGTATCTGGTAAAATATATATCTTACAAAACATGTATCATTTAAAACATGTATCATTTAAAAAATGTATCATTTAAAACATGTATCATATAAATATGCATCATGTATTGCGTTCTCTATAATTGGGCGCTGAGATAAATATAACACAACTTTAGATTGGTTTGGGTTTTTTTTACGGTATATCAACCTCAATGGATTATTTAATGCCTACAAGTTTTTTATTGCTGTTAATATTTTTTTAAGAAATGTATAGCTGGTAATTTTTTGAAATGTAGAGAATGGTAATATTTTTTTTTTTTTAAATGTGTTGTTGGTAATAATTTTTCTTCAAACAGTTATTGCTGGTAATAATTTTTTACAAAGTATTTCTTGTATTAAACCCTATTTTTACACTTTTCTAATATTTTGACCCCAGTTTGGGAGTTAACTATTTACACATGGTTAACTATTTACACACCGGGTCAGGATGGTTTTGGGAATACCAGCAATTAAGAGGTATTTCCAGGCCCCTCAAATCAGATTAGAGACTTTGCTGTCGGATGTATTTTATCGTCATACCCAGGACGGACAACATTAGAGATGTATATAATATAAATAAAATTTGGACTTTCATGTTTTTATCTTTGAATTTGTTCCATCCAAGTTCAGTATTGCTTGTATTTACACAACTTTCTGCTAGATAATTCGTAACCATGGCAACTGTTTTTCTGGGCCCAATAATAGCTAGGAACGAACAAGCTTCAAATTTAACACTGCCTTCGACTTATCTACATGTGACACAAATTTTATTCACTTGTATACCTTCTTAAAGTTTCGAATTATTTACTCGGCATAGATCGGATCTTACGTTAGAAAGCAAACAAAAATAACTTAAAAGGTTTCTCAGATTAAACCTGTGAAATGCGTTCATTGATTTTGTGATATTCAGAGATGGGCGAGAATTGAAAGCGAGGCAAAACAAGGGACATAATACATGTTTTCTGTTAGGGATTTCCTGTTTTTCCTTCATTTCTTTTTCCATGTAAAGGCGTCTGTTTTCAAATAATCTTGGGCGAAAATGGTGTGAAAGTGGTGTTTAGAGTTTTGGTACGAGAAAATCGGCGAGTCATGTTCGAATCCCGGTAGAGATAGTTGCTTCACTTTCGTACAAATACTCTTGAATCCATCTCTTATGAATATGAATCCATCTATTCTATCCCCTCAAAAGCTTCGTTAAATAAATGAACATACTGGATTCTTTATATCCGTGGTTGGCAACCAGTCTAGGAGAAAGACAACTCTAAATTCATAAACCATATGAGCTCCTGGTGGAGCGCATACTTAAAGAGTCACAAAGGTCTACTTATAAAATATAAACTCTAGCTTGTCCCTGTGGGTACTGGAGGAACAAAAATATGCTGAAGATAAGAAAAGTGTGCTTTCAAGTCTAAACAACTTTGATTAGACAAAGAAATTAATTCAAGTTCTTTAAGAAATGCTCTACAATCGCTGATACGATGAATTTAGAACGAAAATACAGGATTGAAATGAGGACTGAAATTGATGAATGAATATTTCAGATAACGCGTGTTAATCACTTCATCATGACTTTTATAATATATTGATGAACTAAAAAGAGTTGATTTAGTGCTGAAATGTTGAATTTCCAATGATCATGTTCACGAAAATAAACAATATATATATATATATATATATATATATATATATATATATATATATATATATATATATATATATATATAGGTAATATGAGAACGAATAGAGTACCATTCCAACGTTCATACATTTAATTTAATAGAGGATTCATTACAGAGTAGAACAATATTTATTTTACGATATTAAAAAAAAACATGTAAAAATCGCTACACAATTGCAGTCGTGTTTCGACGTATAGCAATCCGTCTCCTCGGGTGATTGTAAATTACTGGCAAGTGAACGATTAATTTGGTTTCAATAGCAAAATACATAATCTTTTTTTCGAAAAAAAAAAAATTGTAAGTCCTGAGGGCTTTACCGTTCGATCCAAATTAAGCGGAAAAGAAAAAGAAAATTAAAAGTTTTTTTGTTTTTTTTTAGAAATGGGTCATGACCCGGTGTTATATACTATTCGTTCGTACATTAATTACTGCTGCTATATTTGGTTTGGTGCGCCTGTTGCATATCTCAAGATTCTTCACATAATTCAAAGAAAGGTCTATAATCTAATCAATCTAGTCCTGGCATCTTAACTTTAGTACCTTTCATTCCGACCTGACGTGGCTGGCATTTGTCTTTTATACAAATATTTTCATGGCAACTCTTCTGATTTGTTCTTACCCTTTGAAACCTTCAAAATAAAGTCGAAAGTGCAAATTTAATTTGAATTCTGGAAGCACGGTGGAGTAATGGATATCATCTCGGATTGAAGAATTCCATTCGGATCTATTACATTCACTTACGTGCTACTATAAATACTCTTCTCTCCTCCAGCTAGGGATAAATGACAGACAAGACTGGGTTCTATAGCCTTGGGTGGCAACCGGTCTAAGAAAAGGTAACTCTGAATTCAAAAACTGGCCTTGGAAGATTTGGCTCCGTCAGTCTATCTTGACCAAGAAACACCACTTCTACTGCAGCTGCGTCATATGTGGTGTCCCCCCCCCTACGATCCTCATGGGTCACGGGATTCCTGATCATTATGCAATACGCGCTGATCATCTAAGAAAAACATGTAACCATCCGTTCTTCCCTCAACGCAGCCATGTATAAATAGTTGAATAAAACATCATTATTATAATTGTGCTTATTCCTCCCCTCGTTGGTTCGTAAGACTGTTTGTAAGACTGTTAATCCCTCACAAATAATGAACTATTCCATTTTCGTGACGTGAGAAGATAAAAGACATATTACAGACGCTCCCTGCTTTCAGTGAAAGAAAAAAAGAAATATAGAAGTCTTTAACGAATACAAAACCGTGAAATCTTGACGGGTTAAAATTAGTGCTCTTTAATCATAGTAAGTTATGTGAAGGACAACTCTTAATTCAAAATCGTGTAGATTGATAGCTTGATTTGTTTTTATCGACCAGAAAATATCTTCGGATTGCAAGAATTGAGGTAGGGAATAATAATACTATAATGATACATCCTACTATTTAACCCATAGCTGGAAGAGAAGGGATTGATTTATACCTTTCTCAATAGCATTGCTCAAAAACGAATATAACAAACACCACTGGAATTTGAACTAGTCTCTCTGATTTCCAACGCCTGACTCTTTAGCAACGCCTGTTGTTTTTTCCATTCGGCTTTCTAGCCAACCAAATGAATTCGCCATCTTGCTCTTTCCTTCTAGCCCTTCGGTATATCTCATTATCTGTGTCTGGAAATTTCAACTATCACTTTTCTGATTTGAAGTAATAGTGACATTTTAGTTCACAGTTTCTTTAAAGCTTTCATGTTGCTCATATGTTCGATTCGTGATACTCTCGGCACATTGCTGTCCGTTCGAGTCCCTTCTTAATATTTAACGAGATTCACTACCCTATAGGAAAGTTTCGTTCATCTAAAGGTTTTCCCTTGGATGATCAATTAGTTCCCACTTTACAACCCCGTTTCTCAAATACAACACATCACAAGCGTCTCACTATCGCCATTTCTACTGTAAATATGCTGAAGAAATATATTCATGTCTTCCACCATTTCAAACCCTTAAACTTGGGATCCGTTTTGCCACCTACACTGGGACGAATCACTCCATTTCCTTAGGATTCCATTAGTAAGGAGGAAGTTATCTTGATTGATTTGTTTTTTACGTCTTATCATCCCGTTACAGATTATTTAAAGCCAACAAATATTTTTAGATTGTAAGAATTTTATTTTTTTAGATAATGATTCAGTGATACAATTCTTATTAATTAACCCATAGCTGGGGAGAAAAGAGGTAGATTCATGGCTTTCCCCAAGGTATTTGCACATAAGTGAATATAACAAACCCAAATGGATTTGGAACACCTGTTATCCGATTAGCAATTCTGAGCTATCATCCATTACACCAATCGAATATCCAAGTTTACAACACCTGGTCTTCCCAAACGGTCACCCATCCAGGTACTGACCAGGCTCGACGTTGCTTAACTACGATGAGAACCGGTGTTTCAGCGTGTTGCTCGGAAGGAAGTTCTATTCCTCGGGCAGCCTATTCCCAAGAATCAGGGTCCAGTCTCCCGAATGAATTCTTCCCCATCTATGACAATCTTAACCTCTTCTAGTTTCAAACAGTATACATCCTACATATCCTCATAATTTGAAATTACTTTCTCGTCTTACATAAATTCAATCACCTCATTCTGTAACCAGCTACTTTCAGTGTCATCCTTGTATTGGATGAATAAATGTCTTGATAAGTTCTTTTGTAAGAGAAAGTAAAGATGGCAGTGACATATGTTAATAAAAAAGGCCTTCTTGTATATGCCAATTTAACTACTTTCATTTCCAACCCAGAGAGGGTTGGGCTCCGTAAGGCTCTCTTTCCCAAAACACACCCCTCCTACTGCGGCAGCTGTATATGTGGTGCCTCTACAACTCGGAAGACTTACGGGACGCGTGATCGTGTTAGGGAATTCGTACTACGAATAAAAGAATGACTTATTTTCTGCGGTTTTTTACTCCTTTGATTTAATGATACAAATCTTATTAATTAACCCATAGCTTGGGGAAAAAGGTGGATTCATACCATTCTCAAGCGTATTTGCGCGTAAGTGAATATAACGACCCCAATGCGAATTAGAACTCGACTCTCCGATTATCAACCCCGAGCCATTATCCATTACACTCACAGCATAACCGCGTTTACAGCACCTGGTATTCCCAAACTGTCACCCGTTAGTAGTAGATCTTTCGAGAACTGACTCGACGTTGCTTAACTTTGGTCATCGTACGAGAACCGGTGTTTCAACGTGATACGGCCGTGAGCCTGAAAAAAGGGAATTAATTTAACGCTGAACTTACATCACAAATGGCATAATACATGCCTAATGATGTCATTAAATGAGTCATTTTGAGTTTTCTTATTTTCTTTCTTTAATGCCATCTCCGAATTAATTAAAGCATAGAATATAAAAGTGAACGGCGTAAAGAACATTATTTGACGTAATTAAAATTACTTGAAAGGAACAACTTTCCTTTCGGTATAGAAGGTGTCGAACAGAAGAGAGTCCATGAAATCTATTAATATTTGTATTATATTCTTTCAAAACTATCCACTTAGTTGGTCTAGCATGGACATGGAAAGCATACGGAACCATTTAAGTAGCAAAGAGCAGGTGATTAGTTTTAACGCTCCAAACACACTACTTAAGTGTTGTAACTGAGTTATCAAAAACAACAGTAGAAAACAGGAATTGGTTTAACAAAAGGTTTATTACCTTTTGATACAGGGAAACATAGATGTAGAATAGAAACTAGTGAAGAGGAGGTTTAGCCGTAAATGACTGTTTTCAGCAAAGGCTAATGCTCCTCCTGCTACTCCTCTTGATGTAGGAGTATCTTTATGTCTTTAGGCCGAGTCCAAACTTGTAGGGAAATATTCTCCCTAACAACACTTAGTATCGTACGAAAATTAATATCTTTTTTATTATTGCTGTACACATTCGAAGCTTACTCTAGGATAGTAACAGATCTTTCGAGACATACACAGATGGTCATAGTTCTTCAGCCTTGTTTATATAAAGAAGTCTACAGAGGCATGCAGTCATCTTTTTTAGGTAGAGGATTACAGTCGAAGTTAGTGAGGTCTGTGAAATGGTTGAAAAAGAAGTTGGTAGGAAGCGGGGTTTATGCAAATAAGGAGCACAGATAACAATTGATGCTTGACTTGAAGATGTTAATACGGACTCAATAGAGGAAGTACCTACGAGGGAGTCTATAGGTAGAGTGGCAAATCTGCTGTAAAATCTGTCATAGTGAAACACTACTTAACTTTTGACCACCGAAGAAATAATCGCGATTCAGCTCCGTGGATGCAGTGTGTCGTCTCTTTGAAGAGAACAAAAAAAATGGATTTCTAAATACTTTCCACGCTGTTGAGTGGAAAATAGCTCATCACCTACAAGACTGCAAGTTTTGAAATCAGGGCTGAAAGTGAGGATTGAGCTGCTTCAGCCAACATATGTCAGCATCACTCCATTTTCTTTAGCTTTATCTAACTGTTGTAAAGACATAACATTGTAGAATGTGTCCTGTACTCGAGCCAGGCATTGGGTAGGTCTATTCTAAAGAGAAATCGAGTGTGGATTAGTGGTATCGGCAAATACTTTCGACAAAATGCTAGAGTTGACCAATTTATGAAGAAGGCCCCATATAAAAATCGTTCAAAGAGGATTTGAAACTCAATTTGCGCCCAGGGATGATCCTTAATTAAAAGTAGCATTGTTATTAATATTTTACTTATATTTACTTTCTTTATAATTATTAGATTAGATCACTAATTTATTTTCAGATCGATCGAATGAGTCAACAGCTAAGGATCGAAAGCATAAGTTCCCAATCAGATTGGAATTCTCATATATTTTACCTCTGAGAGGCCTGCTAAACGTCTAGTTGCTTTTAAATCTGAGCTAACAGAATTTACAGAAAAAGCTACTCTGACCCATAACTCGTCTCTCTGTTTCGTTCGACGCCATATTTCATTTCGTTTTTTCTAATATAAGTATCTGTAGTAACATTATTATGTTTTTTTTTATTTTTTGTTTGATGAAACATTGTCATCTCTTCTTAATTTTGATAGCGCAATTACTTTCTTGTTAATTCTTTTTTGAATTAGATGAAACATTATTTGCTATTTCAATTACTTTTAACTAGTATTGACTTTAACTTTTATTTTGTACTAGATCATCCATAAACATGATGCGTTTCTTTTAAAAGTAGTTCATGAAAGAAAATAATGAGGTAACAATATTATCAATTTTATTATTAATAACACATTTCAATTTGTATTTAAAGTCCTTAAAAGAGGGTTTATTGTTCCACATTGCGTCATAGGTAACACATTGCGTGGAAAATTAGAGTAATAGCACAAAAAGGCGTAGATCATATTTTATTATACATAATTGTTTCTTACTTTGATTTATTTATAATTTGTTACGGCGGCAAATCAGCGTGCATCTATTTATTTATTTACCACATAATTGATACATTATAGCCTCTTAACTTTTCAAGTAATCTTTTTTGTATAAAAATTCTAATGTAGTGGTGTTGTCAGAATATATGTTGTGTTATGAACATATATTTTTTTAATAATGTTGCTATGAGGTATTATTAATGTCTATAATTTTTTTACATACATAATAGTTGGAATACAATATGAAATTATTTGCTTATATAAGCGGATTAATAGAAAAATGTGTATTGAAAACAAATACTGAATTTCCTATATAAATGCCGTAGAACAGAAAAATGATCCTTGCTAAAGAACCCCTTTTCTAATTGTATTAAGATTTGCTATTCAAAGTACAGTATGTTCCCAAATTGGTTGAGGTATTATATATCATTTAAGCTTTATCTCGGTAATACACATGCGTACACGCATACAATATTATAATTTTAATATTATATAGATTAGATTTAGAATTGTCAACCATTATTATTTATTTTGATTCGTATTTTATTTTCATATTAATTTAATTTTGAATTATATTTTATTTCTTTAATTTTATTATCTAAAAATATTTGAATATGTATCAGTGAAATAAATACAATGTCAACTGATGTTTCCTTAGCTAAATAATGAAATTCATCTTCGCAGTACTTCGAGAATTGGCAGGATTTTTTTCCTTCTAGACATTCCCGACATAAAGCAAATTTTTTATTCTGATTTTGTAAATGATTTTCACTAAAATTATTTTCTTATGGAAAAACGCAGACTCACATACACAGCAGAAGTGGTTCCTCCTTGTAGAAGCCAAAATCTATAGTGACATGTCTCCGTTACAAAATACAACAGTAGCAGGTGAAGCCTAACAAAAAAGGCCAAGATATTCTAAAAGAACGCATAAACGCATATATGACGGTGTAATCCATTCATTATAAAAGTCTTCCACCATCACCAACATTTTTCTATAATTATTGTACTGCCTAATAGCAAGTTGTCGTCGGCTTTATCTCGTATCCAAGAATTTAGTTTCTTTTTTGCTACTTGTTTCCTTTTTGACGATAGCGTTGATTACTAAATTCACAGCCAACATTCAAGTACAGGTCGAGAAGATTCCAGTTTAACCAAAACCTGCTCCCGTTATCCATTCCATATCGCCATTTGGCTTTGCAAGAATTGGTTGAAGGTGAAAGAAAATCAGAGTAGAAGAAAGTGTCGATGGCGTGGATTTATTTAAAGTGGACTTCAACTTAACAGGAAGTGACCCACACAGTTCATTTCATGACATTCCTCTGCGGCACATTATACCAAATAATATGGGAACTTCGACATGGTGTCATGATTAACAAGCTTGTCTTCTTACATCAATAACGACTGAGTATTGGGTTCGATTCTCACAGGGAGCCCCATACTTTCGCCCTTGTGCCACAATTAAGCTACTCTTAGTAAATCACTACGGCACCTCGACGTTGTGTAATGGTTAACAAGCTTGTCTCGTTAAAACAATTACAAATGAGTAGTGCGTAAGATCCTCATTGGGTGCTCCATACTTTCGACATTGTGCCACGAGGGCAAGATTTTAGTGAGTTCGATCCTCGCTGGGTACTCTATATTTTCGCCCTTGTACCACATCTAAGCTACGCTTAGAAAATTACCATAATATCAAATAATAAGAGGAAATAAAAAAGAGACAAACAAACGGTCCTGGTTGCCGTTCAAAATACATTATAAGAAGATAGGGACTAAATATAGCCAATTCCCAGGTACAAACCTAATTTAGTAATTTAGTTATGAGCGTGGGCCATTGTGATAGATTAACGTTGACAGAATGGACATTTTTTGTAGGCTATCGAAAATGAATACTGATTTGCATTTTTCTGCAAAGATACATATATATTATGTTTTGCATACTGGAAAAATAACAGTTATGATAGTAAGTCTGGCAATATATCCTCGTACAGATGAGGTGAGGGTTGGTTTATAATGCATTGCTAAAACAGATCAATAGTGGT